ATCTTTCTTCTATCATTGACAGTCCCTCTAGGTTGTGGGCTGCTTGCCTGTGTTCCTGAGAAGCATCTACGGTACCAGTCTATAGAGTGTGTTTTCTTTAGTGAATTACCGGTATGTTTACCGGTAATAAACTTGCACTGTTTTATGTATATGTTTGATTACATACAGCCTTGTGACAGTTTTCCTGCATGTCATAAGCATTTGAATATAAATTAAAATGTTAAAATCAAATCTGATATTGTTTTACCTTTTATTGGGTGTGCGGAAGGTGTGCGGAAGAGGGGGTAGTCTTATACGGCGAATATATAACAAACTCTGTATTTTGAAATATTAGGGGGTCGTCTTATACGCCCAGTCGTCTTATACGCCGGCAAATACGGTATGTGATTTTTAGTCAGAACCCTCTGTATTTATGTTGTAGACAATATTCTAGGATGTGATCTTGATCAAGTTACTCTACATTCTTTACTCAGTTTCAACATTTATAAACTACAGGGTATTAAAAACAATCTCTGACTTCTCTTAAGGATTAGAATTTGTGCTGTCAAATACAGTGGCCACTAGATACATAGAGCCACTTAAACTTAATGCGAATTCCTTAAATTATATTACATTTTAAATCAAGCTTGTCAGTCACACTAGCCATATTCCAATTGCTAAATGACCATGTTATTGGATGTGAATGCATGTATATGAAATATTTAAGCCACATTGGCACTTTTTAATTGCTACTTGATACATTATGGTCACGTTTGTTTGTTTTGTCCACTCAATCCCATCATAGTTTTGTGGCATTCATGCTCCCACCATATAAATTTCTAATTTATTCTGGCATCCTCAGAAGTTCTCAATTATGGTCCTGAAAGTCTTGTCAAATACTTTGTACTATCTTTTATTTTCCCTCGCCTTTCTGTCTCCTTCTGGAAATAGAGACAGTGAGATCCATGTCAAGAGGGAGAGGCCACTGCTATGGCTTCCTTTGCCTCCTCCCCCTGCAGGGGTTCCTGGCGGTCTCATCATGCCTCACCACCATGGAGTGTGGCTGTCCTTCAGACTCTAAAAAACATCCTATCTCCAATGCTCATGACTAGTCATCCCTCTGTCACACTGTTTTCAGACATGTCCAGGTGTCTTTCCTACCTCTCACAAAGTCATATAAATAGCACTCTTTTTAGTTTCCACCTTGAAAACTGCATTTTCCTTGAAATTCTGGCCCAGGATCTTTGGGGATGACAAGGATAATCTTGAGAATCATCAAACTATTCTCAAAATGCTTTCTCTTTATAATAGATCTTTAGTTGCTTTAAATTATCTTTCTTATGGTTATTTGTATTTTATTTTGTGATTTTTCTTTTTAACAGCTATGGTAGTTATTATTATTATTATTGCATTATTATTTTTTAATTTCTTTGATTGTTGAGAGTATTATAGATGTCCCCCATTTCCCTTCTCCACCTTGTCCCCCTTCACCCATCTCCCACTGTCCCCATCCCAGGCCTTCACCTATCTATTGTCTGTGTCTATGGGTTATGCATATATGCTTATAAATTCTTTGGTTAATCTCTTTCCGCCCTCCTTCCCACCTTCCCTTTGAGATCTGTCAGTCTGTTTAATGCTTCCATATTTGTGGCCCTATCTTGTTCATCAATTTTGTTACATAGATTCCATATATAAGCGAGATCATGTGATACTTGTCTTTCTCTGACTGACTGGCTTATTTCGCTCAGCATAATACTCCCCAGGTCTCTCCATGCTGTCTCAAAGGGTAAGAGGTCCTTTTTTATAGCTACATAGTGTTCCATGATATAAATGCACCAAAACCTTTTTATCTATTCATATACTGATGGGCACTTGGGCTGCTTCCAGATCTTAGCTATCCTATATAATAAAAGGCTAATATGCAAATTGTCCCCTCAACTAGGAGTTTGACTGGGAGTTCAACCAGGGGGTAGCCGCAATCAGGGCAGGCTGGCTGGACTCCACCCGTGCATGAATTCATGCACCAGGCCTCTAGTTTTAAATAATGCTGCTATGAACATAAGGGTGCACACATTCTTACTGATTGGTGATTCAGGATTCTTAGGATATATTTCTAGAAGTGGATCAAATGGCAGTTCCATTTCTAATTTTTTGAGGAACCTATATACTGTTTTCTATGGTGTATGCACCAGTCTGCATTCCCGCCAGCAGTGTACTAGGGTTCCCTTTTCTCCACATCCTCGTCAGCACTTGTCATGGCCAACAGACATATAAAAAATTGCTCAACGTACTAATCATCAGAGAGATGCAAATTAAAACCACAATAAGGTATCACCTCACACCTGTCAGAATGGCTACCATCAACAAGTCAACAAATGACAAGTGCATTAGTATTTTTTATTAGTGATAATTATACCATGATAGGTGCTATGGGAGTTAAAAGTGGCATGGCCTTTGTCATTGAGAACTTATACTATTGAAAAGGAGAGATGATTTAATTTAAAATAATTATAATCTGAGGTAGATAATTATACTGCTGGCAGTAAACATGTTTATCTCCATTTTCATTATACTTATAAGTTTCAAATGTTAAAATGACAGAAATCAGCAAACATCACCATCTGGTTTTATTTTGCCTTTTTCTTTCTTTTTTTTTTTTTCCTCTTCAGAACTACTCATCTGTATAGGCAAGAAGCAACTGTACATGTGGTGTAATTTTAAGGAAAACTAAATATCTCGTTTGCATTAATATTTCATTTCCCTCTAGGCTATCTGAAAGTGTCAATTTCATATTGAGGTCATTTATATCCATAAGACTCTTATTAAAACATAAAAATATTCTTTGGGGGTTGGCAGGGAAAAGGTTGTTTTGATGCTCCATTGATCTCCTGAACTCCAATAAATAGGAGGATTTCTCAGAAGGTGTAACAAAGAAAGTGAGATATACGGCAGGGGGAATGTCTAGGAGAGGTGGGTAGCATTGGACTCTCATACCTAGGAGGTTAGCTGGAGACTTTTCAGGGGCCCAGAGCTGAAGAAGAGTTGGAGAGAGAAGATGAAGGAAGATACACGTATCTGGATGTGGTGACAATGTAAGCCCATTGTTTGTGAAAATCCATTGCACTTTGTCTACACTCTTGTCATAGTCTTTTCTTGCCATGTTTCTATACTGGTGCTTAGGCATCCCTAATTAAATGCCTCTGATTTGAAATCACAGGATAGCGTGGGAAAGTTTTTTTTTTTTTTTCCCAAGAGCATGAAGTATTTTATACAAATGTGTTAGTTCAAAGTTGGAAATCATTGTGGAACCACATGATCTATATTCATAGCGCCAGAATCCATATTCCTGTGTAAGGATTATAAGATTGTACCAATATTCAGACATTGTGTGGGAAGAAAAAGATTTGTGAAGAGAGGAGAGATTGCTTAAGAAAGGGTTTATTGAGCAGTTCTTACTGAAATAAAATAAAAGTTCTTTAGTGAAAGCAGATTTTAGAGCAGTCTTATAGCAGCTAGGAAGCTAGAGCCAAGACACTCCTGAAACATATCTGTTGAAATATCAAAATGCTGCAGCAACATCTCTAAAGTAACTGGTCACATACAGTCAAGATGAAATATATACACAAATCTTATATCACACTAGAGGGCCGATGCATGACATTCGTGCAAGAATAGGCCTTTCTTCCCCCAACTGCTGACACCAGCTTCTCTCAAGCCGCCAGCAGGCACCTGAGACCTGGGCTTCCCTCGCACCCCTACTTCATCTGGAAGGTCGTCCAGTCTAATGAGCATATTATGCTTTTATTATTGTAGATATCAGAAACCATTTGATTCTCTTCACTTCAATCCAAAAGATAATCTTTTTTTCTTGTTTTTTTTGGTTAATCCTCACCAAAGGATATTTTTCCATTGAACTTTACAGAGAGTGGAAGGGATGGGGAGAGACAGAGACATCAGTGAGAGAGACACATAGATGGGTTGCTTACTACACACATCCCTCTCGAGCATGCAATCGAGGTATGTACCCTTGACCTGAATCAAACCAACCCGGGCCTTAGCTGATTTGGCTCTATCCACTGAGCCAAACCAGCCAGGGAAATGGTTGCACTTTTGTTTTGTTTTTTGTTTTTTATTTTAGAAATCAACAGGTAGTTTATTTAAAAAGAATCAAAACAGAAACTCTAAGTATCAGTGTGTACATTGTACACATTTATTTATTTATTTTTCATTGTACACATTTAAATGACTCACAGGAATGAAGTTTTCTCATATACTTTAAGATTACACCACCATGTTGTGTTACCAAAAGATGTTCAAGGATAAATCTGACTCCAAACTGCATTATCTTTAAAGTGACCACATTTCAAACATGCAAAAAGGCTTCTGGTAATAAAGCTTTGGAATGGGTGCTCATTCTCTTATTTCACTACAAACATGATAGAAAGAAGGTAAGTTGAGAATTTGCTCTAAAATACAACGGGAGTTGTAGTCTACACCAGCACTCCTCACTCCTCCGCTGCCATTTTTAGCAAGTACTCCTTGTCGATCTTGAAGAGTCTCCATCCCTCCTCGCTGGACAGATCAGAGGCGCCTCTTTTTTTGTAGAAGTTGATAGATGGTTTATTCCATTCTGCTACCAGGAAGTGCATGCTGCTGCAGCAACATTTCATCGCAACCTGGCTCAGAGTCTTCAGAATTTCTGATCCTATCCCAAAGCCTCTAAAATCACTAATTATGAAGAAGTCTTCAAGATATAAGAGTTTTCCAATCCATGGGTCATAGGTAAAATAGTACATGGCGAAACCAATTATGCTGTGTCCTTTGGGAGTGCTCCCTGGATACTTCTGCCACCAGGCAGTGGTAGAAGGGATGCTCCCCGAAACTATCCTCCTGCAGATCTGTTTCAGTTATTATTACTTGTTCTTCTATCTATAATAATAAAAGCATACTGCCCTAACCGGTTTGGCTCAGTGGATAGAGCATTGGTCAGACAGCCAAACAACCTTTTGGACGTCCTTCTGGATGAAGCCACGGTTGCAGGGGCAGAGGCAGAAGCAGATAGGGGTGATCAGGCAGGCAATCACTAATTATGAAGAAGTCTTCAAGATATAAGAGTTTTCCAATCCATGGGTCATAGGTAAAATAGTACATGGCGAAACCAATTATGCTGTGTCCTTTGGGAGTGCTCCCTGGATACTTCTGCCACCAGGCAGTGGTAGAAGGGATGCTCCCCGAAACTATCCTCCTGCAGATCTGTTTCAGTTATTATTACTTGTTCTTCTATCTATAATAATAAAAGCATAATTTGCTAATTAGATCAGACAGCCAAACAACCTTTTGGACGTCCTTCTGGATGAAGCCACGGTTGCAGGGGCAGAGGCAGAAGCAGATAGGGGTGATCAGGCAGGCAGGTGAGTGGTTAGGGGCGATGCATGCAGGTGAGTGGTTATGGGTGATGAAGCAGGCAGGCAGAGTCAGGCAGAGTGGTTAGGGGCGATCAGGCAGGCAAGCAGAGTGGTTATGGGCGATCAGGCAGGGAGGCAGAGTGGTTAGGAGCCAGTGGTCCCGGATTGTGAGAGGGTACAGGCCAGGCTGAGGGCCCCCCAACCCTGTGCACAAATTTCATGCACTGGACCTCTGGTGTATTCATATTTAGCCAGTTCCTTAATCAGGTGCAGGATGTCACTGCAGTTGTCAGCGGTCGGCGGCGGTGGCAAGGCGGATCACGAAGTTAGCCATTTTCGTCTTGCTTTTCTTCCCCTTGCCGACTAAGCCTCTGTACTTGAACAACAGGAGAAAGTGGTTCTTCATTCGTTTCCTGAGAGCGGCCTCTTCTCAGTCAGGCTGGCACCATGACCCGGGAAGCCTCGGTGAGCAACTGAAAGACGTAACCAGAGCCACTGGGGAACTGCCCAACTGATGCACTTTTGACAGGCTATGTATCATGTGCTAGTATAATCTCCAATCAGTTCATTACATCCCATATCATTGTAGAAAGTTTATTTTTAAACAGAAATAGTACATTGTAGTAACAATTACCAAGTGTTTACTGTGTACCAGGTACTATTTGAAATGCTTGAAATACATTAGCTCAATCAATCTTTGCAACAATGCTTTGAAGTTGGTAAAATACTATCTTAATTTTCTAGGTAAGAAAACTGAAGCATAGTTGTAAAAAGAAAATTAAATTAAAATTTTAAAACCACAAAATATGCTCAAGTTAACAAGAAATGGAGCTGAGATTTGAACCTAGGAACTATAGTTTGGCTCTTGATTTCTAATTCTCAACCACTACCATACACTGTTTATTGAAGTTATGTAATTACTTAACTAAGAATTACTGCTAGAATTTAATCACAAAGTACCTTCAGTTTTCTCTCTGATTGTCTCTCTATATTTACTGAGTATGGGTAGTTTTCACCAGCCTCAGGATGAAAATTCAAGGCCTGCCCCATGGCTTCTCTAATCACACTAAGGTAATAAATGCTCAACTGTTGCTTTTAGTTCCAAAGTACAGTCTCAATTCAGTAATTAGGATATCCAGTCTCATAAAATCATTTTAAAAATGTCTCAATTTGCTCTAAAATTTAGTCTTCTCACATGCCTGAGCTTGGTCCCATTTCTGGTGGAAGTTGACATTAACCTTCCCCCACCTCACCCATCACAATGGATAATTACAACATGATTGAATATCAGGGAAAG